TTATTTCATGTCTTTGTCAACCACGACTTTGTCACACCGATTTCGACCACCTTACCAGAGAAACTATGCATGTTTCATTGAATTTCATACCTACTCATTCGAAAATAAAGTTATCCTTCTTCACAGAGTTCATTGTTCATATATATAAAGCTATGTTCAATAAGATGAATGTAATTATTTTATCGCCTCACAGCATTTTACAATCTTTATGGTGCCCAACATTGCGCCCTCATAAATGTCAATCAACTTTGAATGAGCGTCTTCTCACGTCGACATCATTTACTTTTATAAATCATTCCAATATTGAACCTGCCCGTTGCCACATTAGAAGCTTATGTATTCATGAATCAAATTACAGTACATGCTATATATCCCATGAACATCTTTACGAAAAACGAGCCTTTGCGATACATTGATCATTTCACACTGAAATCTCCATCAATTACAAATTATATCGAGCATTCATGTTTTCCTTCGGATAAGCCAAATAAACAACACATCGCTCACGACGACGAACACTATCGATAACGTCTCTAAGTTAAAATTCGACTAGCGTCTCCATCGGCCGAAATATTTATAACACAGCGTTACTCATATGAAAAAATCGTAGACGATCAAAATGGAAACTATATTCCTTCGCTGAACTCGCACATGCAACATTTTTTCGAGAAAACAGATTCACGCATCTTCAGTCATCACTAATGTAAACTCAAAAGTCAGAAATTCTCATTATCCATAAGCATGACATAGACAAAAACTAGTTAATTTTCGTTTACAAACTAAAACAAGAAAAAATATTAGTCATAGAAATACTCATAAAGCCACTACAGTTTTTCGCCCAATGATATCCAAAAACAATATTCAAGACTTTGCTTCTCCTTTATTCTGCTTAATGAATTCCTCCAAACGAGCTTCTAGCTCATCCCCAATTGAAATTCCATTCAGATCTAATCTGGTAAGTGTCTGTGTGAAAAGTGCAGATGAGTATATGAGAGAGATGAAGAGTGAATAAGGGTTACTATGTTATTTCTGAACGAAATTGATAGTGCGAATGATTTTTTTTCTGACTCTCTTGATGTATATACATAGGAGAGAAGTGTTGGGTATCTACTTAGGGCGTACCAAAAGTTCGTAGCCCGATGTTACTTAACCATAGAGTAACCTTTAAGAAACTTTCTTTTTATACAGTCTAATAGAGAAAAGAATGCTCTATTTTTCTATGCTATTTGATCATACCTCAGCTAATACCGTGATAATAAATTTTCGATAAGACTTCTTTCATTATCATTTGTACTCTAATAATTTTCGCATTGCAGTATCCAATCTCTTAATACATTGTATTAACGAACTAAAATATACTATAAGATGCAGCGTGAAAAGCTCTAAAATTTACCCAAGACCGTTTATTTTATAGTTGCACTTTTCGTTTTCAAAATGGACAAAATTGTGAGTGATCGAATTTCAACCATGCGAAATTGATAATGTTTTTGATACACGGCGAATTCATTTTTTGTTACTACATCGTTTCGTCATCTGAAAAGCTTTATCAAAACAAAACAAAATACACCACAAGATGCAGCACGAAAAGCTCTACAGTCTTCATAGTAAAGCTTGTTGTAATTGTTTTCAAAAGAAGGAAAATTATCTGCAACCAATTTTTGCAATGCTCAAAATTTGACCCCTCAAAACTTTGTTCATTTTGATAACGAAAAGCGCAACTATACAGTAAGTGATCTTATGTAAATTGTAGAGCTTTCACGCTGCATCTTATAGTATATTTTAGTTCGTTAATACAATGTATTGAGCATAGGCGGCGCGCCTGTGATGCGAGGGGTTGCAGTTGCTACCCCTACGAAAAATTAGGGGTTGCAATAAAAAATTATTGCTACCCCTAATGTCTCATATTCAGATGGTAGTTAAAAGAACATTCATAGATTACCAGACTTGTTTTTACTGCTTTTTAAGGACTTTTTTTTGTCATATATATACGACATCTGTTTTGTCACATTTGTGATCGATGAGCATTATATGATTGGATCAAAATGACAACTATATTCTCTTGCTCCTATCATGATAAAACGAGACTTCTCAACATTGACTGTTTTGTATTCAATTCGATCTTTTATTTTACAGTTGTTATATATTTGTATATATACTTTGTTAAATGTCTGATAAAAGCAAATTATCATATTATTTCTTAAAAAAACCAGATAATTTAGTACAAGAATCAAATAGTACACCTCAACGTACAACAACAAATTCAGAAATTGTGAATATTAATGAAACGATCGTGTTGACTGAATTTCTTGATGCATCATCACCATTATCCTCATCAACAAGTTTAATTCTTCATGATC